GACAAATGAAGCAAATGACAGGAAAATGAGCGTCAAAAGATGAATAGTTAGAATAGAATATGTACGTGCCACATGATCACAAGATAACCAGACAAGGTTGTGGCAAGTGCAACTGTTCTAAAGCTCAGATCAGATAAGACATATGTCTAAGGTCAGAAGAAAGTCAACTATGCATTAGACAAAGGACAACACAAAGTAAAAGACACTCCAGACGAAAACAAGGTCGATCCACAATCTTGACCAGATCAAGAAAAGACAAATCATTAAACTCAGACGTTGAGACAAAGGTAAAAATTGAGATGCAAAGAACAAATAGACAAAGACGAAGACTTCCATAAAAGCATATGAAGAATTAAGTCTCAAGAGATAAACCAAGGCATCGTCTACAATCACACATAAGCTCTCAACATAAAACGCATGATCTAAATAAAGAAACGAAGAAGAAGAGAAGCATGCAAAAGCAAAAGCATGCATGTGTAAGAAAAAGTGGATTATTTTTTCTGAAAAGGACAACGGCTATATTGCTGCATGATCAGAAAAAGACAAACAACTTCTAGGTCTCAGATAAAGTCAAACACCGTTGAAAATAGGACAAAAAAGAATACACACAATGTCTAAAAATAGGAAGCTGATCTGAGCTTTAGAACAGTTGCACTTGCCACAACCTTGTCTGGTTATCTTGTGATCATGTGGCACGTACATATTCTATTCTAACTATTCATCTTTTGACGCTCATTTTCCTGTCATTTGCTTCATTTGTCTGCATTTGTCTCGACTTATCTGGTCCGTATGACTTGTCTTGCCTTGACTTTTCTTCACGAGCTTCGTTTGATACTTCAGTGTCTCATTCTGGTGGTAGTCCTCTTCCGTCTGTGAGCAGACTTCATTTTTATGCTTGTTTAGCTATCATCTGATTCTTTCATCTAGTTTGTACAGTCTTAATGGATTGTTGTATTCGAGATAGAAGGTGTCACAGACGTGGCATGGTGAAGTTAGGCATGAAATGTCTAGGATGCCCTCTATCTCGGCTTAAAGTCGGGTGTGGCTTGGTGATGCTAGGCATGAGGTGATTGGGATGCTCTCTGTCTCGGCTTAAAATCGAGTGTGGCTTGGTGAAGCCTGGCATGAGATGATTTGGATGCTCTTTGTCTTAGTTTAGAGTCGGGGGGGGGGTTTCAAGCTCGACGTAGATTTTCAAGAGGCTTTTTTATGATGTTTTAAATAATGCTATTAGGATATTGATGAATATAGATGTTGGTGAACGATGAATTAGATGATGATCATGACATATTAATATAAAAGTATTTGCATGGTTATGACATGCATCTTACTTGCATGATTTTGTGGTTCTAGTGGGAACCTGTTTCTATGGTTTTGGTGAAAACTTATTGGTGTTCTGGTGGGAACACTTTTATTTTGGTAGCCTAAGTCAACCCGGGACTTAGGTACCAACTGTATATTCTTGATGATGATGGTCAGATACCCCATGCATTTAGATATATAGGTGCACATCACATTGCATTACTGTGTATGTGTTTATGAGTGTAATTGATGGTGTTTGCAATAGAAAATGATGTATTACTTATTGTTATTATATTTATTTTGTGAAGGGATGGGATGCCGAGGGTTGTGGCCTATTCCCTATAGAGTAAGATTGTTCTCACTCCCTATTGTTTGTCGTATTTTTTTGTATGTTTTGTAGATGAGAATCATCAATCTTTGGAGGAGCAAGGAGAGATCTAGGTGTGTGTGGAAACTCTAATGCCAATGTGACACCAGGGTTCGAGAGTAGTTAGGGATTATGTTATTCTTTTCGATTTAATTCAGTATATTCAAGTCGAGCATGCCTTCATGCGTATGAAGGAACTTCCTATACGTGCTAGCATCGGGCGGGGAATTGTCCAAGCCAAGTGCGAGATGCCTAGGGTGCCCTCTGTCTTGACTTAAAGTCGTACATGGCTTGGTGAAGTTGGGCGTGAGATGTCTAGGGTGCCCTCTATCTTGGCTTAAAGTCGGGTGTGGCTTGGTAAAGCTGAGCATAAGATGATTAGGATGCTCTCTATCTTAGTTTAGAGTGAGGCGTGGGTTTCCAAGTCCAGAGTAGATTATCATGAGGCTCTTTTATGATGTTTTGAATGATGTTATTATGATGTTGATGATTGATTATGCTATCATGACTATGTGTGTGTCTATCTATATATGTGTGTGTGTGTATCTGGTGAATGATGATTATTATCTTGATGGATGACATTGTCATGGATGAATATAGATGTTGGCAAACGATGAATTAGATGATGATCATGACATATTAATATAGAAGCATTTGCATGGTTGTGACATGCATCATACTTTCATGATTCTGTGGTTCTAGTGGGAACCTGTTTCTGTGGTTCTGGTGAGAACCTGTTGGTGTTTTGGTGGGAACACTTTTGTGCTGGTAGCCTAAGGTTAACTTGGGATTTAGGTAACAACTATATATTCTTGATGATGATAGCCAGTACCCCATGTATTTAGTTATAGGTGCACATCGCATTACATTACTATGTATGTGTTTGTGAGTGCACTATAAGAAATTTTGAAATTACAGACGACCAAAATCTGTGGGTAACACTTCATTTTCGACGGATTACAGACGGACAATAATCCTTCGGTAAATTGCTCGTCTGAAACATTTACCGACGGATTATAATCCGTGGGTAACTTTCTGACGAAATTACCCACGGATAAAATCTGTGGGTATTGTTGATAATATTTTAAAAAAATCATTTCAAAATTATATTAAATAATATCCTTATTTAGTGCAACATCCCTCATATCTGACCTTTCAGCAACTCTACTCACGACACTTCACGCAACTCCTCGTTGATCAAAACCCTTCACCAATTAGAACCCTCCATGGATAACCCTTTTTGAGATATTCGTCCGCTTTTAGGATCAAAGATTAATGTCAAGTACTCTTAACTGTGAAGTTCTTAAGGAATAAGCTACCAAAGAGTAAATGCAACTCATTGGTATAAATAGTACAAATTAATTCTTTTAAGTCATCTTCAACTATACAATCTCATACTTGTACAATCTTTGGATCCTCTCATTCCAATATATTTCATAAATTACAATATAATATAATACAATAATTTTTATCTAAATTAAAAAATATTAATATTTTAGTCTGTGTATTTCACAAGTTACATTTTTATTATATATAATTAAAATTTATAACAAGTTATATATAAAAATAAATATTATAGTTAAATCAATAAATCATATTTAAAATTTGTATAAATATATATTAAATACAAATTAGTAACTAATAAAATTTGTATAAATATATATTAAATAAAAATTAGTAACTAATCAAAGAATAATTAACTTCTATATATAAAGCACAAATGTCTTTCTTGTGTCATAGCGTTTTTAGATACTTTTCTTTAACTAGAAGAATTTTATATATTTTTAATTTTTTTTTATCTAATTTAGTTTTTATTTATCATTATCTTATAAATTAATTTTATTATTTTTAACATAAATTATTAATAAAAAATAATTACCCACGGATACATTCGTGGGTAATTCTGTGGGTAATTATCTAATTTAATTTTTATTTATCATAATTAATTATAAAATAATTTTATTATTTTTAACATAAATTATTAATAAAAAATAATTACCTACAAATTTATCTGTCGGTAATTACCCACGGATTTATCCATTGGTAATTACCTACGGATTTATCCGTCGGTAATTACTCACGGATTTATCCTTGAGTAATTTCGTGGATAATTATCTAATTTAATTTTTATATCATAATTACTTATAAATTAATTTTATTATTTTTAACAAATTATTAATAAAAATAATTACCCACGGATAAGTATCCAATTTAATTTTTATTTATTATAATTACTTATGAATTAATTTTATTATTTTTAAAATAAATTATTAATAAAAAATAATTACCCGCGGATACTTCTGTCGGTAATAACGTCGGTAATTTCATGAGTATTGTTGATAATATTTTTAAAATTTTATTTTAAAATTATATTAAATAATAATTTTTTTTATTAAAAATAATATAGTTTAAAATTGGTAAAATTATTATAAATTGTACGAAATTATCTTTTAATTGTAGACTATCATGCATCAATATCATTTCACTAATTATATATTTCTCATGGGTAACATCCATCTGAAATTTCAGACGGAAAAAATCTGTGAGTAATATCCCTCAAAATCATTTATATTTCAGACGGACACATATCCGTCGAAAAGACCCGTCGGTAATGTCATTTTTCAGACGGATATTTATCCGTGGGAAAAAGTTCGTCGATAATAAGTGTTTTTTTGTAGTGGTGTAATTGATGGTGTTTCCAATAGAAGATGATGTATTAATTTTCTTATTATATTTGTATCGTAAAGGGATGGGATGCCAAGGGTTGCGACCCATTCCCTATAGAGTGAGATTGTTCTCACTCTCTATTATTTGTGGTATATTTTTATATGTTTTGCAAATGAGAATCCTCAGTCTTTGGAGGAGTAGGGAGGGATCTAAGTGGGTGTACAAACTTTGATGTCAATGTGACACCAGGGTTTGGGAATAGTTAGGGATTATGCTATCCCTTTTGATATAATGCAGTACATTCAAGTTGTAATTTATTTACCATTATTCTATTATTTTTATTCTTCAATTGAATTGGGTTTATCATGACTTAATTAGTATGAATTGAGAGTTAGGAGTTATTTGTATCTTTAAATGGTATCATTCTTAGGGTAGATAGGTGTCACAATGTTGGTATACTTGCCAATGGATCAATAATGACATTCATAGTTAATTTCACAATAGATCTTGAACAACTATTAATTCTTAACACAAGGCAAAATTAATGAGATGGTCATTTTCTTTGAAAAATTGTTCTATAAAGTTCATTATTAAGCTGAAAATGTATTAGTTTTAAAAAATTCAATTTCATGTGATGAAAAGAACTTATAAGGTTAAGTATTACCTTCCAAATAAATTTATAGAAGAATAATGTTTCTGTTTTGCTTTTGACATCTACAAACTTGGCATGATACCATAGGATTGATGCTAGAAAAGCATGTCCCAAACCCTAACACATAGAAAATGAAAATAAATGTCAAAATTTATTGATAGGATCAAACATGTCCACATTCACTAGCTATATATCCACCTATGTAACAATATAGTACAATTTAAAAATTTATGAAGTAACTTAAGCTTTCTCATCAAATAATGCCACCTTGAAACAACTAATTTTGAAACTACCAATTTATAAAATCCATATAGATATAAAGACAAGCTATTATATGCAACAAAGGTTAGAAATTTCCTTATTATAGTGCTCTTGATGGAGTCTATGTGTGCTTTAGTTGAATGACTACCTTTTTTTTCGAAAAAGAAAAAGTTGAAATTTGTAAAATAGTAAAGAATTGCTAAATTTTGATAATTGACTAACAACCATATTGCATAAATTGCAACATGATATTGGAAAGAGGAAATAAGGTTAATTCCTTGAAACTCACTATTGAATGAACTTAGATAAAATTAAATCCTTTAGACATGAAACTTATATAAATTAATAACACATGCACAACAAAGAATATTACAAAGTCATAACTATAGGATAATCTATACAAGTAATTAGAACATCACCGTTATCAATTTGCTCCAAATGGAAGAAGATGTTGCTCCCACAAAAAGTATTGCAGCTCCATAAGCCATTTCCAAGAGTGAAATACAAAACCAAAATACCTTAAAAGAAGACATATATTTAGGGAAAATCCTGGATACATTAAGAGCACAACTAAGTCATGTGAGATGCTACATGAGAAGAACATACCCATTTTGGACCTAAACGCACTGCTAAAGTTCGAATGCCAAATTTTTCATCACCTTCAATGTCGGGTAGATCCTTGATGAAGTCAACAAAAGGCAATTTTTATTTTCACAACTAGAACAATAGCATATTTTTTAAAAACAATAATTTTTTATTCTTTTACCTTGAACAATGATATAACTACAGCAAATATGCTTACGAATACTATAGCCATAACCAATGATTTTGGATACATAGTTGGCCTCTTGAACACATAGGTCTGCACATTAGATTTTACACAAATATATTAGTAACCAAAAAACTTGGTGGGAAGGTTGCTTTAGAGTATAGAAAACTAAGGTGTATCTAATAGACAATATGTTATGTAAACTACTATTGTTTAGCAAAACCCTAAAATCCATGAATAAATTGGTTTACAATAGTTTATTATGAATTTAACTAAAGCAACTCAACAAATTGGAAGAAATATTTGTAGTTGCAATCATGTGTTTGAAAGATAATGGATTGGCAAAATCACCTGCATGTGAAGAAATAATCCAAGGTTCAACATAATAAATTTAACTATGTAGTTTATGATTGTAAGCACTGAAGATCTCTTCCATCTCAACAAAGGCAACTGAGAAATGTTAGAGACAAAAATTAATATAGTCACTATATATCAAATAAAATTTCCAAACTAATGCTTTCAAGAAGCTAAAATTGAAGTCTAATTTTTGAAAAAACAAACTAGTATCACATACATTCAATTCTTAAACCCTTCCTCTGATATACATAACTTTCTTCATAAAAGGAAAATTAAAAGTACATATATTGTATATCACATTTGTTAAGTTATTCACTAAATCTTTGTTAATTACCAGTAAGGAAAGAGACAATATGTGCCTTTATTGAAACATAATAATAAGGCAAAATAAATGGGTAGTTATGTCTTTGTGGGTAGTTATATCTTTTCTTCTTATAATTGATTACGAGTATAATCATCTTCAAAAAGTAAAAACCAAAATAGGAGATATTTCTTTTATATATATTAGTAGATATACACCCGTATCTCTATATATATTTTATTTAAATAAAAAGTAATTTATATGTTGGGGTCATTTGTTTGTTTGTTTTATTCTATAGCACAGAGATGCTATGTTTTCTTAGCATTCATGTCTTAGATACATATAGTGTGAGAGAGAAATAGAAAACCAACATTTTAAAATTGTAGAACATAATAGAATTGAGAATTATAAAGTGCAAAAACAAAAAGTAACTTGCTCAAACGAAGCTGGAGAGATGATTGTGCTTGAAGTGTTTGAGCAAGAGGTCTTTGACAAACTTCGGAAGGCTCCAAAAACTAACATTATAGATAGGAGTAGTGAAAGAGAGAGATAGGAAAAGGCATATACTATAGGTTAGGATTATAAATATAGATTGGTATTAAATAAAATAGATATTGAATTTAAATATATCATTATAGATTATTGATTATACATAATTATATACATAATAGGCATAAATTATATATAAATATAGATATAAATAAAAATAAATTAAAAATAGAATTCTAAAAAATTAGAAATTTTAAAAAACATGAGATAAAATAGAAGTTATATAACAATGAGTGGAATAATTATAATGAGTATAATGATCTAAAAAAATGTAAAGACGAAAAAGAAATTACACAGTCACTATCCCTTTTATATGTAGTATGGTATATAATATTTAGTATAGAACAAAAAAAAAATATTTTGTATCTCTAAATATTTATTTAAAAATAAAAAAATAATAAAAGTTACTAAAATGATGATTGTGGTGGTTTTATTTATAGGAGAAAATAATTATTTAATGGTTATTATTAAAGAAAATAATGTACAATTACTAAAAGAAAGTTCCTACTTAGAATGACAAATAAAGTTAAAAGTTTAAAATATTTTAAATGGATATATAGATGAGTCTTAAAAAAGTGGAACCAAATAAGTGAGTAATTGTTATTGATAAAGTGGACAATTAATTTTTGTATACATATTTTTTCTTTCAATTTTATCCTTAAGAAATATGATCATGGAAAAAATATTAATATATATAATAAACACATATAAATGTTGAAAATTAATAGAGGTATCCTTTTATATATAGTATAGAATTAGGATTAAATTTTTAATCCATGAATTTATGTCAAATTTTATTTTAGTTCCTAAACAAATATTATTTGATTTTAGTCCCTGAAATTTATCACCATGAATAATAATTTTGACGGTAATTAGTAAAAAAAAAGTTAACAGGAGAAAGAGTTTAAGAACTAAAAGTAAAAATTGAACAATTTAAGGAACTAAAATTAGTAAAAAAAAATAAAAAAACTTATTCAAGGAATAAAATAAAAAATTGTCAAAAATTTAAGGACCAAAAGCACATTTAATATATATTATCATTATTATCGATTAAAATGTTTATTTTCATATAAAGTATTACTTTTGAAGAATGTTAGAATGAGCACGGTTGTACTAAAGGAAGCACAATCTGTAGGTATTTTTGGAATTTTGCTTCAAATACATCACTACTAGAAAAATATTATTTTCCTGTAAATTTTCCTACAAAAAATATTCGCATAAATTTTTTACGAATTTTCTTGTAGTAATAATTTCGCAAAAAAAGTTTACAAATTTATTTGTGAAAAATAATTTATAGATATTTCTTACAAATTTTTTTACGAAAAATAATTTACAAGAAATTTTTGCAAATTTTGCTACAATTTTAATGACCATAGAAAATTTTTTCCATGGTAAAAATTTGCAGAAAATATTGTAAGAATTTTATTTTGTTTCTTGCAGATTTTCTTGCAAAAATAAATTCACAAGTAATGTTTGTAAATGGTAGAAAAATTTTGCAGGTAACTTTTCCTGCGGATTTTCCTGCAAATTTTAATCTGCAGGAAAAAACAAAAAAAAAATTTATAAGTTTAATATTTTAAAAAAAATTTCAAGTCCCACATCGATTGAAAATAAAACAATTAAAGAGTATATAAGTTGGGACAACACTTACCTTGCAAGTTGATGTATGGCTGAGTGTTACGCATATAATCTACAATCTTAGAATTTAAAAGATTATGTATCACGTAATGTTGGAGGCATGGAAACAAATGCTTTGGATAAATTCATTGTAAGCATTTGAAAGTTGAAGAATTATTGATAGAATTTATAGTAATTTCTTTAACTTTTTTCGTAAAAAATATTCTTACAAAATTTATTGCAAAAAAATTTGCAGGAAAGTTTCTGCAGGAAACTTTCCTGCAAATTTTTTTCGCAGGAAAATTTCATGCGAATTTTAAAATTCGCAAAAATATATTATCTACGAAGGTATTATCTGCAGATAAAATTTTGCAAAAAAATTTGTAAGAACATGAAAAATTTGCAGGAAAAGTCGCATGTAATAAAAGAAATTCTAATAGTGCATTCTACAAAGCCCAAGCATGTTGGAAGCAAGCATAATCGCCTGTACAAGGGTTTCACAGTCAGTGGCTTAAATTGAGTATGATCGTCCTTCACAAAGAACACTCATATTTGAAGTCCCTAACAATGAAAAGTGATGAATTTTTGTAAATGTATTTCAAGTGATATATATACTTGCTATATGCCAAAGTTACATGTATTTCAAGTGATATACTTGCTATATTCCCCAAAGGATGATCAAGTTAAAAGGAAATTTAAGACATAACAACATCTCCATTGATATAAGAGAGGAATATTTGTCTCAAACGGATCACAAAAGTAGTATCAACTTTTAATAAGAGAAAGTTGTATGATAATATAAAGGGATATCCCTTGATATTTTCAGTTGAAATTTGTTATAAGGATGAAAAAAAAAGAAGGAAAAAATGATATTTATATAAAGTTTTAATGCATTATTAAATATAATGTTACGTTGTTTTGTCTTATTGGTTTACTTTTATAGTTGATTGTTAAAGTATGAATACTCCTACGTGTATGTTATGTGTTATTGTAGTGCCCCAAGGACATTCATTGATTTCCCTCGTTATTCTATCATGTTTCAAAGTAAAAAAGTGAGGAAGTAGTAGGAGAATGAGTTTTCATGCTTATAGCTTATAACCTTTATAGCTTCGCGGTTTCAAGACTTTATACTTCTTGTCCAAAGATTCTTTTATGGTTATTTGAGATTTTTAGGGTACAATAGTTACCTTTTTCCCCCTCTTTATGTTTTCATGTTTTCGTTAAATAAGTTATGAGGTCATTAATTAAGTTTTAATTTTTTTGAGAAGTTATATAGAGATGTATAGTAAAGGTCTCCTACGATATTGTATATCACATTTATTTCCTAGTTCCCTCAACTCTAATAAAGCTTTTACTGATATTGAAATGACAAAATTGAATCATGACCCCTAATAATTATGCCATAAAAAATATCAAGGAAAAAAGGAAGTTCAAATTTCATTGAAATGAACTCACATTTATTGAATAAGCAGATGAAAAAATAAAATATGAGGAAATAACCCAAAGTAATGGTAGTGAACCTACAATCCATCCAAGCCCAAGACTCTGTAAAGGAAAATAAAATGATTAACCTTAGTCAGCCTTGTTAATGAAGCTTATCTTGAACAATATATAACGAGAAAAAGTACATCAAAAAATTGAAATTATTGTTGTCAAACTTTGTCATTAAATATAAATCACCACTCAAACTATGTCGTGTAAGTTTAATCACTCGACATAGAAGCCATGTGCAACCAAATTTAAGAAGTAAAACTTCCTCCATAAGATTTTCATTGAATGGATAACAAATTTATTATTTTAATGAAATGTTTTGCGGACAAGATTTAGTGTAAAGATATAAGATAGTTTAATAACCATTACATTAGACAACTTTAAAAGAGCCTAGTTTTTTCTAATAAAGATAAGATCAACATTTTAGAGAAAACAAATTGATTGTTAAACAAAGGTAAGTCCATAAGCCAAAGGATATAAACAAGGATTTTTTTATAAAATGAAATGACTTTCAATTCTTAGTTTGTAAAAGTGTCTAGCTGAGGCTACTCTTGTAGTATCACTAAAGCATATACATATAGAAAAAGAACCATATTGGGTTATGACAGCTTTTTAATTCTCATACTATTTTAAATAATAAAAAGAAAATAAAACATACCTGTGTAAATAAATATTCATATTTGCATGTATAAATTCATACTAAGAAATAAAGCAATAATATAAATAGTTAATTGGTTCTCTAAAATAAATAGAAAAAGAATTTTATGTTAATAATTAACAACAAAAGTCAAGTATGAGACACAATATACATCAAAGTTTTCAGAAAAGGGCAATTTTATGTATAATACCAAAATAAGACTCGATGCAACAATAATGATAACAGTCCTACGAGAATACTCCCCTGATGCCATTGGAAGATATGGCTTGTTTATCTGCAATTAATACAACAGCATGTAGCACAAATCAATATATTATTTCCTCAACAAAGGGAGTAGTACAAAATAAAATGTTATTTGTTTTCTTGAATATATAGCATGGCAGAAGTTTTTTTGAATGCTTGATACACTATGCAAATGTAATAATACTATTGCATAAATACAATTTTTCTAAAATTTTGTGCCAATTTTCATTTTTAATTTTCTTTCAAAAAAAAACAAGTCATTAATTTTGATGTCTAAAGTGACACCTTTTATAATAAAAATTTATACTTGTAGACGATACTATGGTTTTGTACAAAAAAAAAACTAAAATTTTTTAATAAGCTAAAATGATTTTATGTATAAAAAATATTTTTTTTTAAAAGATAAGTGAGATAATATTTATAAAAATAAGTGGAAATGCATAAAACTATATTTGGACAAACTTTTTGATAAACACTTATAAGTGAGAAAAATATGAAGATAAAATGGAGTAAGTTTCTTCCATATAAGTTAATTTATAGATGTTCTCTCAATTATATTGAACCAAAGACATTTATAAATGTCTAACGCTCCGAGTATGATGATAACAAAATTAGGATATACTACTTCTTTGACTAAGTTGTTATAGGAAATATGCATCTAAGAGAAGAACTATGGAGACAAAATGATTTTAGATTAAATATATTTTTATCAAACGTGTAAAAATAGCATGTAAAATTGAACTTGTTAGCATTTAGTAAGAGCCTATGTCCAACATCCAATACGCTAGGCCAACATAGCCACCCACTAGTTTATGCAATTCCAAAACTTGCCTCAACATTTTTGCGCTTTAAGCTAAGCCTAAGCAAATTAGAAAATAACTTTGGTAAATGTTTTTCCTGTTTTTGTCTTTACTTGTTTTAAGATGAAATGTTCTTAAACTCAAATGTGAGTCTTTCCAAAAGGGTTTTTGAAAAAATCTTATCACATATATTCAACCTACTTTTTGAATTTTTTTTTTCCACTTTTAGCTAGTATTAGAGCGTGGTCTTCTAGGGTTAAGCATCTAATCATGCAAGGAAGTGATCCTATGAAAAAAGAAGGACAAGCATGAGTCATCCATCTCTCTTTAGAGAACTCATGCATGACTACTAAAAGTAGTATATGATATATTTCTTTGATGCCTGTCCCATAGACATGTGGGATATAGTAGACATTATTAGAAAATTGCAAAATAGCGACCGAAATTTATTAGTCGCTATTTAGCGACTGATTTAGCAACCGATTTTGAATAATCAAAATAGTGACTGATTTAGCGACAACTTATAGAAAATTGGTCGTTATTTCGGTCGCTAGCTACTAAATTGTAAAAAACGTTACGACTGAATTAAATTCGATCGCTAAATAAGAAATTTTGATTTTTTTCAGTGACGAAATTGAATCCGGTCGCTAAATATTAATTAAAATTAGTGACGGAATTGAATTCGGTCGCTAAATACTAGTTAAAATTAGAGACTGAATTCAATTCCGTCGCTAATTTTAACTAATATTTAACGACCGAATTCAATTTCATCGCTAAAAAAATCAAAATTTCTTATTTAGCAACAAAATTGAATTCAATCGCTAAATATTAGTTAAAATTAGCGACGGAATTGAATTTTGTAGCTAAATATTAGTTAAAATTAGTGACAAAATTGAATTCGATCGCTAAATATTAGTTAAAATTAGCAACGGAATTGAATTCGGTATCTAAATAAGAAATTTTGATTTTTTAACGAGGAAATTCAATTCGGTCACTAAATAAAACTTAAAAAAAAATTATAAATTGCTTAAAAGTGATGATAATATTGTTGTTGAGTATCAAACCCATTTTCTTTTTTTGTAAGAGAAAGACATTAATTTATAATAAAAAAATATATTTATATGCACTCCTATATAATTAATATCAATAGTTATTTATGTGAACAAATATTTAGAGGTTTTCTTTTTACGATTGGATTTTTAGGCATTTTTTTAATTATAGTATATGAATTTTTTTAAAATTTCTTATTTATTTTGATCCATATTTATAATATATATTTCTAACTTATGATAACTTTATTTTTAAATAAATTTTTATATTTAAATTAAGGAAGAAAAGAATTATAACATCCTCTCTCTTTCTAATAGGAAGAGTACAAATTTATTTTCTTAACTATTAGCATTTCTTTATTGTTGTGTGATAAAATTAATTATTTTAAATTATTTAACTAGAATCTTATTAATAATTTACTGTATGATTTTGATATTTTTGTATAACTAATATCTGGCTTTAAACTTGATATGAAAATATTATGATATAACTAGATAAGATTTTAAATTAGTATTTTATTAATGGTTGATAATTAAAAAATAAAACAAGGATAAATACATTTTTTGAATTTTATATCTTAGATTTAAGATGAATAAATATATTAAGTTAATTAATAATTTATTTAAAATGTTAAAATTTAATTTATAAAAATAATATTTTAAAAGAGAAGGGTTATAATAACATCGGTGTAACTTTTACTAAGTATTACATCGCTCAATAACTTTATATTAAATGTGAATTTTATAAATTCAACCATTAGATTGAAAGTTTTTTACTCTTAGATCATATATACAAAATTTTATATTAATTCAAGATGATTTGATACTTCATTCTTGTAAAACAAAATTGACGTAATATATACATTTCAAATAAAATATGAGCACTTTGATTACTTTTAAGTTGTTGTTTAATTTTAACAAAAATTGATATAAACATATAAAGTGATATGAACTTTCAATCTAACGGTTGGATTTACAAAATTCACATTTAATATAAAGTTATTGAGCGGTGTAATACTTAGTAAAAGTTATACCAGTGTTATTATAACCCTTCTCATTTTAAAATATATAAATTATTACTTAAACTTTTAAATTTATAATAAATAATTTAAATTGTATCATAAAATTAATTTTAAATAGAAATAAGTAGATTGTTAATTATAAAAGTAAGTATATATATAAATAAAGATTAATTAAATATAATATAATTATTATTATTCATAATATAATTATTATATATATTATTATATATTTCTAAGGGTCCGGATTCACCAAAATGATAAGAATCCAAAGATAGTATAAGTATGAGATTGGATAGTTGAGGATGACTTAAATGAATTAATTTGTGCTACTTATACTAACAACATACATCTATTTTTCGGTAGCTTATCTCATCAGAACTTCACAGTTAAACGTGTTTGACTTGAAGTAATATAGGGATGGGTGACTTTCTGGGAAGTTTTCATAAATTGTGTAATTAAGGACAAAACATGCTTAAAAGTTAAGTATTGTGAAATAAAATCCTTAAGAGACCAAATATGAGTGGTTAGAGACAAATTTGTGACGTTTATAAAATTTAATAAAATAAAAAATAAATATTTAGCGATTTAGCAACCGATTTATTCGGTCACTAATTTAGTCCTATACACTTCAGCGACCAAAATCATTGCAACCATTTTGCGACCAAAATTTTCGGTCACTAAATAACGACGACCAAAAATTTTTCCGTCGCTAAACAGCTTAGCGACTGATTAAATTCGGTCGCTAATTTCGTCGCTAAGGTAAATAGCGAGTGATTTTAGCAATTTAGTGACCGATTTTGGTGGTCGCTAAATTGCATATTTTTTTGTAGTGAGAGATGTAACACCCCAGAATTTCTACTATTACAATATCAATTATTATCTATTTTTATATATTTATGAAGATTATTTTTATAGTTATTTTAGTTAATTAAAGGGGTTTTTATAAAATATTTTAAAGGTTTGTAACAATTTAAATTATTTGTGAAAGTTTTTATAAAATTCTATTTTTTTTTACGCCGGAACGGGCTGTTCCAAAAGTGGAACGGGCTGTTCCAAACGAAGTAAATAAGTTGTTTTTGAAGTAGCAGAACGGGCCATCAAAAAGTGGAATGGGTCGTTCCAAATTTGTAAAAAGGCCTATTTGGGTTTTACCAGAACGGGTCGTTCCCAAAGGGAAACGGGCCGTTCCGAGATTTTAAAAATACCTAGAAAGTTAAGTTGGAAACGGGCCGTTCTACTTATGGTCAATGTGTGTAAAAATGAAACCCAGAACAGGCCGTTCTAATTTTAGAACGGGTCGTTCTACTTTTTAGAAACGGGTCGTTCTGATTTTAGAACGGGCCGTTCCAGTTAAAAATTTTACGTATATTTGAAGGCTCCGGAACGGGCCGTTCTGAATTCAATACGGGTCGTTCCGGGTACACCTGGATGCCTATAAATAGGAGGCAGGGGGGTGAAAAATTATAACTGAGTGAGAAGTGAAAATTTTAGAAAGAGAAAGAAAGAGAGAGAGAGAGAGAGAGAGAGAGAGAGAGAGAGAGAGAGAAAGAGAGAGAGAGAAAGAGAGAGAGAAAGAGAAAGAAAGAGAGAGAAAGGAAGAGGGAATCCAGAGGAGGAGGTTCTGCTCTAGTTTCAACTCCACTTATCCAGGTTAGGGGGGAGTGAGAAACCTCGCTCGGGGTGTGGGAATAATTGTTGGATAGTTTGATTGTCGGATTGGCCCCCAATCCCTTGCCTGTTGTTCTGTTTTATTTTCTATTTGCTCTACTTTGTTCCTTGTTGGAAATAATAAATGATTATGTAATTAATGTTAAAAATAAATAAGTTTTAATATGAATAAGAATGTTCTCTATGGATTCTTGTGCGGACCTTATGAAGAATAATTATGACATGACTATCTCTGTGGATTCCTATGCGAACCTTATGAGGAATAATTATGACATGACTATGTGAAATATGCACAAATGACATGAGACATAAGAATGGACTATTGAGACAAGCTATGATTATGAGACTATGAAAAATGATAACATGATGTACTAAATGAAATTTTGTAATAAGTTAAATGTTGAGTCAATGAAATTATGAATGTGTGACATGCATCATATACATATATGACTCCAGGTGTGCCGCTGAGGCCGCATACCGGTGATGCTAACA